TTGAATTTTATTACTTTGACTAGGATTCTATAGTTGGCTGCTCTCGTAACTATAGGAAACCTAGTCAATTCCTGGTATACGGGTCCTAGGCATTTTTTTCGGTGCACTTTCAAATTAATAACAGAGGGTAGAAATTGTAGTTAGTATTTTAATTAGTTTTGTACTGCAAAGGCCTTAAACTGGTACTTTTTTATGTTTTGGAGAAATTTATTCTCTAAATCTGAATAAGCGAATTTTCATACATATACCCAGGTAGAAATTTGTCAAGTATTACTTGTTTCCTTCCAGTAGCTGTAGAGTCGAGAGCGAGTTTTACTTGCAAAGACAATCTAGCTTCACTGAATAAAAACAATTCCCCTTTGTCATCAGTACTTTTGTCAAGTCACTGACTAGAAAATCTGATCATAATCGTGACAAGAATTTCTTTCCAGACACTGGCCAGTCACTGATTTGAAGAATTATTTAAGATTCCACCTAGAAAAAAGAAGTTATGTATATTTGAAGTTTCAGTGGTAAAACACGAAAAAACTGGAAAAAAATTGTTTTGCTTGTAATTTTTTTTCTAATGAGTATAATCAAATTTTTTTCTTGAAACTTGCAGATAGGCTAGTCCTCTTCAAAATTCAATTTGAAATTTGAAAAAAAATCAAAATTAACGAAATAAGAGATAGTTTTCTAAAAAATAATAATGTCGATTTTCTCCAAAACCCCACTTTTTTATCTTTCTAATTTTTACCATAAATTCTCATCAATATGAAGAACAAATCCTATAATTTTCAAGCGGGCTAAACCATCCTGTCAGCCAGGAGAATTATTTTTCGAAATATTTCTTTTTACAAAATTTGAAATTGTTTACGTGCATTTTGGAGAAAATGTACGAACTAAAGTGAGTAATTTTATAATTAATAATAATAAATGCAGGGAAAATTATTGAGTCAAAGATGAGAAAAAAATAGGGATACGTTAGAAATAATAAATTGAAATAAAATAAATTAAACTAAATTTTTAATAATTAAATTAAATTACTTATTGCATTTAACATTTTACGTAATTCTGAAATTACGTGGTAATTTTTTAATAACTTTTTATTTATAGTAAGAAGTATAATAGTATTTTAATAGGATCAAAATTATTATTGAGATTAAAGTTTAAATTGTGTTTATAATTTTAATTTGATTAAATAATTTATTATTTACAAAATTAGACAATTATGTTAAATTATTATTATTAAATTTAATAAAAATAAAAAATGAACAACTGAAAAGTAAAATATTAATTTTTTTCAATAAATGTATATTTATAAACATTCATAAACTTTTTTTATAATTTTTTTCAAGTTTATGTCAAAAAAGCAATGTTGGCAAAGAGCGTTGTGAACAATTTGTCTATACTCAGCCAGCACTTGCCGCCGTGGCTTGTCCAAGCTTTGGCGAAACAAAAATTCTGTACTGCGCCAGCACTAATTGTCGAGGCTCGGCTAGACTACGCCGAACAATCGTCTGAGTACTAAGCCAGTGGTGAACATCGGCACTACACTGGCATTTCCCATTGGGCGAAACCATTTTTTTCCAATGTTTTTTCGAGTTTTACCACTGAAACTTCAAATATGCATAACTTCTTTCAAAATAGTTTTTATGGAAAATAAAAAAATACGGGTCTCTTTATTTTTCATATAGAATAACATATTTTATCAGGAGTTAAATCCATGACTTGAAGTTGGCCAGTCTGCCTGATTTAAAATGTATTCAGTCATAAAAAAGGTGAATTTTTCGTTATTTTATACTTTAGAGGAAAACAACAGGTTGTTTTTTAGGGAATATAAAATAGTAGGATTGTATGTTGTATTAAAGAAAAGCAACAACAGGTTGTTGTATTAGATTGAAAAGATACTTGTGTCGGTTTTTGAGGTTGAGAGACCAATCCGCCTGGAGAGTTGCTCTCTTGGCTCGGTCTCGTTGTTTCCGGTTGGGAACGATCCAATGTTTTGGTTATCGTTGGCAAATTCTATTTCGATTGTCTCCCAATTTTTTTTCATCTTCTTCTTGTTGAACACTTGAAATAAAAATTATCATTCTGCATCCATTTTTTTCTTCCCTTCGAGCTTTCGAAAAAGTTGGTAATTCTTTTTCTTTGAGATGATAGGAAAAACTTTTCCCCTTATGGGTATATTTTTTCTCTTTTGTTAATCTATACTAACTTCTTGTATCAGTGTGTGTGTTTGTGTGCTTTTGATCGAAATGTTATTTTTACTTTTTTATTTCTTTCGTTCCATCATTTTCTTTGTTCAATTTCCTTGTTCTCATACCATTTTTTCTTTTCGGTGAAATTTTCTTTTCGGTTCTTTCCCTCTGTATATATAATAAAAGAGGTATTATGGTGTAATTTATCGATTATTATCATTATTTCTATGTATTGTTGACAATATTAATTGAATTGTCTCCGCAGAGGGATTGACTAACTTAACGGAAATACGCATACATATAAACGAATTCTGACGCAACGCACATACAATATAACTCGCACTTGTAGATGAAAGAATTGAGTTTCTTTATATACTAACTGAGGAGATTAAAACTGCGCTTGTGAGAAATGTCAATATACTGAATATTAATTTTTAAAAAAATCATTTTTTTAAAAGTTATACAAAATATTTTATGGTTTTTAAAATAACATTTTTTGATTATAATTAGTTATAAAATCTCTATAAAATTTTTCAATTTTTAGAAAATAATTTTATTCTTAATTTTAAATTATAAATAAATTGACATAAAATTTTCAAAATTAAATTCAAACTCAAAAAATGTTTATATTAAATTGTCTAAAATTTGAAGTAATAACAGTTAAAACTTGAGAAATTAATATATATATTGTCATCGGTAAATATTATGATAAACTATAAAATTTATTGGAATGTAAATTAAAAGAAATTAATAATAATTAAAAGTTTGGATTACAAAAGCACATAAAAAATGTTACGAATTTGGAACAATGAAATGTGAAATACGTAAAAGAAAACAATTATCCAAATGTTACCGGCAGGTAAAGCAGTTCTCTTTTTCCTTCCACATATTATCTCTATATACAGCAGACAAGTTAATACCGACGCGACGAGACAAGCTTCAACATATCTATTTATAACGCGACTTTGGTACACCCCGTATAGAATTTTACGAAACTTTGTGTTCGAGAATTCATGATAGACAGCGAAGTGGAAACTCAAACCACGCGTTTTTAGATTGCACGAAACATTTTTACCATTTTCTGATAAAATGTTCACCAGAAAATACGAAACATTTCTACATTCAAGCTTGTTTTATAAATTACAACACTGGTTGCAGTTTCTCGACAATTGTTCTGCTGAAAGTAGTGAAAGTTTCTGGGTTTTTGAAAAACTTCGTCAAGGAATCTTAAATATCCGCTAGTGCGAAATTAGTTTCGTAAAATCTGCTGAACTTATTTTTTCCGTGTAAATGAACAGACAGTCAATTATGGAAAATTAGTTAATTAATTAGTGCTGGCAATTAATAATGTGTGGAATAATTTATTTTTTGCGGGTTATTAATATTATTAAGTAATTGAATAATCTGCAATATTGTTAGTTTCTCTACAAGCAAAAAGGATTTTTGTATAATTAAGAAGAGGATTTTGAATTTTTTTTTTGTAATTGAAAAAAGAATTTTCAATTTTTTTTTGTAATCGATAAAGGGATATTTATCGTTTCTTTGATGTTAAAAAGAGACTTTTCCTTTTTTTCTATAATAAAAGATATAATTACTAACTGAAAAATTCTTTATCGATCGCAAAGAAAGTAATTCTCTACTATTTCACTTGTTGGTAATGTCAAATTCTGCATGAAATTTTTTTTGTCGTTTTCGAATAAAAATAGTAGTGGCACCTTATTTTTACCTTAAATTAACAAATAAAGTAGAAATTTAGAAACTATGAATTTCATTTTTTAGGAAATTTAACGTAAATTTTATTTTGACTGATTTTTTTAATTTCAGTAAGCCCTAACAGATAGTTTCTATTTCGACAGTCGGTAATGTCTGATTCTACACAAAATTCTGTAGTCATAATTGAGAATAAAGTTTTTAGGACGTAATTTAGGCAATTTCTTTTTCGGCAGTCGGTAATGTCAAGATCTGCAAGAAACTCTTTAGTAGATATTGATAATTTTGACTTAGAAGTGTTTTGACACGTAGTTTAGGTAGTTTCTATTCCTTCAGTCGGTAATGTAGAATTCTTCATGATTTTTTCAGTCGAAATTAAGAACAAGCAGTTGTGGCACCTAGCTTAAACATTTGGTAAATGATTCATAACACGATTAATAAAAAGAAACTAATTTTAGTTACTGAAAAAAGTTGAACTCATATTTCAATAGTCGTTATTTACTAAAGTCTAAAACCGATACCCACTGTTGATAATGTCACTCCTTACCTTGCATTTCGATTGGAAAAAAGTTACGGCAATTAGTTTAGACCTTCAGTAAACGATTAATAACAACATTGACGTCAAAAGAATACTAAATTTAGTCTTCGAAAATTAACTGGAAAACTAATTTTCTGGTCGGTACAGACCGAAATAGTATCTACTGTCGATAATGTCAATTTCTACTGGAATTTTTGTTATATTTGTAAATAAACAGCAGTGTCACTTAGTTTAGACATTCAGTAGACGAATGAAATGAATAATTTAAGGGCTGGCTGCAATAAGAGGACAAACGCGAGATTTGGAAGGGATACTACCAGTCGGGTAGCAGTGACAAGCCTTGAGCCGCTCACTGCTACCTGACTGGTATTATCCCTTGCAACCACGCCCTTCAATTACAGAAAAATATCAAATTTAAAAAATTTTAAAAAAAATTAAAAATTGACTGGAAAGCTAATTTTCTGGCCGATACGGCCCGGAATTATTTACAGTCGATAATGTCAATTTCTACCTTTAGATTTCTATTTTTTGGTAAACAATTAATAATTTTTTCTCCTTCCTTTCTGTTACAGATTCAAGTCACGTGGACAAGGATTTAGTAGGTTGAAGAAGAGCAAGGGTGGCGGCGCTTGGGAAGTGTCGCGCGGTGGTACGCGCGGAGGTAGAAAAAAGTCTGTGTCGAGCGTGCGTGCGTGCGCGCTCGCGCGCTCGAGCGTGACTACGTAGGTCGAGTGCGCGTTGGTGGTGTGCGCGCTGCCCGCCGTTCAGGTAGCAGCGTGCCCTGGTGCTTCGTTGGTGTTTCGTGGTTTACGTGATTTTGGTTCTTTTTTGTGGATCTTCACGGATCCCTTTAATAAAAGGCGGGGGTGGCGTTTGTGAAGGCAACCTGTAGCAAAATGGGCTGTGCCATGTCCGCGGAAGAGCGGGCCGCTCTGGCCCGCAGCAAGCAAATCGAGAAGAATCTTAAGGAGGATGGCATTCAAGCTGCCAAGGACATTAAACTCCTTCTACTTGGTAAGATTTTTCATTTTTTTTATTATGGTTATTATTTCTAATATTGCTTCTCATATTTTATTTCTACTACATTTGTGGTGGGGGGGTCGATAACGTTGATTTCTACCTAATATTTTTTTGGTCAAATTCGGTAAAATTGGTAATGGCAGTATGTCAGTTAAGTAAGGCGAGAAAAGCTACTGTTAGGGCACTTAGCTTTTGTGTCAAGTAGGCGAATGACGACCAAATCTGAAAAATACGAAGAAATCTCTCCTATTTATCCGGTCGGTAAACTTAAACTTAATAAAAAACTTCAGTTAAATTGCCAACAGTCGATAATGTCGAATTCTACCTAAAATTTTCTAATCATTGCCAGTAAGGCGAGTTAAGGCACTTAGCTTTTGTGTCAGGAAAGAGAATAACGACAAATTTGACGATTGCGAGGAACTCTTTTGATGTTTAACTAGTCGGCAATGTTAAATTTTATTTTAAATTGCAATCTTTGAAAAAAAGAGTAATTGCGTAATAATACATAATCAATTAACCATTAGTTATGTTATTGAGACCGAAGTTTTGAAAATTTGACACAGTCTACTTTTTCGACAGTCGATAATGTCAAGTTCTACAAAATTTTTTTTGAAAAAATCTGCGTTTTGCCGATATGTCGGACAACATTTTCTAAAATTCATCGGATTCACTTGAAACATTTTACTCGGGGGTTTTCAGGGTCGCTGATTACGAAACCGATTTCAGATTTTAAAAATTCAAAATGGCGGATCCAATATAGCGGACGACATTTTCTAAAATTCATCGGATTCATTTCAAACTCGTTACTAGAGGGTTTTCGCTGATTTCGAAAAACTTTTGAAACGATAATAAATACAATATTTTCTCCCGCAGTCAGCTGTTAAGTATACTACGTTACTTACGACCCCAGAGTTTACCACACGGAAAATCTTTGTTCAAGAAAGATTACAAAATTTCTTCAGGAAATGAGGATATGGAAAAAAATTTAGAAAAATAGTTAAAGTGTGTATTGAATTATTACTAATGGTTTTTTCTGATAAAATAAAGAAAAATTTTGAAGGTCTTGATAAATTGTTCAGTGATTTTAATATTAAGATCTGAAAGAAGAGTTCTATTTCTGATTTCGCACAAAGTCAGGCGTCACAAAATAAGAATTCAAGAGCAGTTTCCTAAAAATACGGGCTCGCGTGAAAAAAAATTAAATGTCTGTGGGTTACGCTGAAGGAACAGACCTGCGCAGACACACGGGTTTAGGAAGGGTCGCACACACACTGACACACACAAAGTATATTATTCTGTCACAGATTACACACACTATAATAACGCACCTAAACCGACAGATTAGCTCAGTCGGATAGATGCCTCGCTTGGCGGTCGTTTAAGGACTAAGGGTATAAGTACCCTTGGTTCGCGCCCATTTGGCTTGGTATTTTTCCGGCACGTAAGATAATCTGAGCGGGAGGTTTGACGTCGAGGTATAATGATGTGCACCGTCGATTATTGTCCGGTACACACCATTAGAACTCGACTGTCGATAAACCGGTTGTACTCAGGAGAGGTTTTCTACAGTTTCCCTCTCCACTGGCGAGAAAACCCATTAGGCGGGTGGTCCAGGCAAATGCGAGTACTCCTAATTTTCAAGTCGCTCTGTAGGCCCAAAAATTTAGTGTAAGGAATGTATATAGAAATATTGTAAGAAGCGAAATTTGTAAAGAGACACTTGTATAGCAAAGCTATGTAGGCTGAAGACAGGTGTATAAACAAATAAAAATAAAATAAATAAAATAACAACGCACCTAAAACTAACACTATCTTACAACTATACGAAAACATATAACGCTCGCTTTCGCACGCACGCATATAACATACCACGAGTTGCTTTGAATCTCTCTTATGTACTAAACCTGCGTTTTCTTAGCCACTTGTGAGAAGAAATAAGGTTTTATTAAAATTAACTTTTTTTAATTAATTTAAATTAAAATAAACGTAATATGGAATAATTAAGTAAAGGTTAATTTTTTCGACTGAAAAGATTCTATATTTTGACGAAATTAAAAAGCTAGTAATTATTTTACTTATACATTTTAATATTTTTATATAAATTTGAATGTTTTACTCATTTAAATTTATTTATTACAATATTTAAAGAATATATATATGCAAAACCACTCTTTAAATCAATGCTAACCAATATAATAATTTACTGTCATAAATTACGAATTCAAGTGGAACAATTTATTTGTGACAAACAATTTTGGCTCTCTTTGAGGAGTAATATAATTATTTAAAAAATTCGTAGAAAGGTGATTCTATAGATTTAAAAGAAATTAAAAAATTATTTAACACGAGATGTTTTTCGATAGAATATACTGAAAAAAATAGGCAGAATGTGTTTTTACTTAGGTCATTTTTGCCTTGTTTATAAGATAACAAATTATTCTTTTAAATCAAGTAAACTATTATTTTCTTTATTAAATTAAAGTAAAATATTGTTAATATAATAATAAACATAAAAGTTCTTTTTTACTAGAATTGTAAATATAACTCATAAAAGCACATTCTGCCCAATTTTTTTTAGTATATTATTTAAAAAAAAACCATTAACTTTAATACATAAATTTTATAGGTCTAATAACTTGACAGTATAAACTAATTATCACTTTTTACCTCATTTCGGAACAGCTCCATGATCTCTAGTGAAACAATAAAAAAATAATATTCTGAACATATTTATGTTCAAATTTAATTTTTCAAAAAACTATTATTATGACTTTTACGAATTATACTATGAATTTAATAAATTCATTATTAGCACTTTCAAATAATCCGTTAACCAAGCACATGTCATTTACAAAAAAATATTACTTGAAGTATTGAAAAATATAATTACGAGACAGAGTTGTATGTTTAGAAAAATTTTCACTTTTATCATTGATTTTCAACCTTTACAAATTAAAAGTCACAATTTAAAATGTTAAAATTAAAATTTAATATAAGCGTTTGTGATGGAGAAAACGAAAATAAACAATCAGTCAGGGCATTATCGTTTGCCGGTTATGTCAGTTTAGGCTAGGGCCTTAATCACCACTCACACAAATGTACTTGCGTAGTGCTTACTGCGCATCAAACGATTCTATTTCAGTTTTGTAATTATCAGAAACGCAGAAATAGAAATCTTATATGACAAAAAATTTGAATACTTTCAAAAGAATTATTAAGAACTATTAAATCTTTTGAAAGAAATATAGAATTATTTCAAACATTCTCCGAAATTATTTCTGAAATTTCATTTATACCTTTTCCTAAAATATTAAAAAGGATTTATTTCCAGTTTCGTAAAAATAAAGAAAAGTTTCATTTATTATACAAAACATTTATAAACAGTCATAGAATTTTTTCCATATCTTCATTTCCTGAAGAAATTTTGTAATCTTTCTTGAACAAAGATTTTCCGTGCACGTGGAGGTATACGGTCGGATTTTACACTCCTTTATTTATTTTGTTTTTTTTTATATATATTTTTTGTTCTTATATTGGATCCGCCAATTTCAAAACCGATATTACATTTTTAATCTACGACATCAATAAATCCCAAGTAACAACTTTTAAGTAAATCTGATAAAACGAGTTTTAAGGGGTCTTGTAACTTTTTTAGGCATTAAAATCTGAAATTTTAAAAAAAATTTTGCTTATAAAATTTAAAATATAATTGATTAAAAGTTTTTACATATCATTGAGTATGTTAAGAAGTCTTAAAAAAATAATTTCATATTTGAAAAAACATAAGTATCTTCCTTCTACAGAGGGCGCTTTGGCCACTGGTAAAAATTATTGGTTGTCATTGTAGCTCACCAATGGGAAATTTACAACTGGCGGAGTACTGCGCCAGCACTGGCAGTACTGGCAGCTACGCTGACAGACAGCACTGGCATAACAAAATTGCTGACGAGGGGAATCGAACCTACGACCTACGGACAAACAGACTAACGCTCTAACCACTATGCTAACGACACATGTGTACACTGTACAGTAAAGTATTAATATCTCAGTATCATTCAGACATACAATTATTGAGTCAAAGATGAGAAAAAAATAGGGATACGTTAGAAATAATAAATTGAAATAAAATAAATTAAACTAAATTTTTAATAATTAAATTAAATTACTTATTGCATTTAACATTTTACGTAATTCTGAAATTACGTAGTAATTTTTAAATAATTTTTTATTCATAGTAAGAAGTATAATAGTATTTTAATAGGAACCAAATTATTATTGAGATTAAAGTTTAAATTTTGTTTATAATTTTAATTTGTTTAAATAATTTATTATTTACAAAATTAGACAATTATGTTAAATTATTATTATTAAATTTAATAAAAATAAAAAATGAACAACTGAAAAGTAAAATATTAATTTTTTTCAATATATTCATATTTATAAACATTCGTAAACTTTTTTTTATAATTTTTTTCAAGTTTATGTCAAAAAAGCAATGTTGGCAAAGAGCGTTGTGAACAATTTTTCTATACTCAGCCAGCACTTGCCGCCGTGGCTTGTCCAAGCATTGGCGAAACAAAAATTCTGTACTGCGCCAGCACTATTTGTCGAGGCTCGGCTAGACTACGCCGAACAATCGTCTAAAATTAAAAAATCAAATTTTATTTCAAAATGGACGACTTAATACAGGACCTAAACCTCTGACTTACTACTAATGTTCAAAATTACTCTTTTTGTGTATCATTTAAGTTTCTTAAAACAAATTATTATTGAATTAAAGTTCTTAATTTTTGATATTTTTAAGTATTTCGAGGTTTAGGTCCTGTATTAAGTCATCTATTTTGAAATTATGTTTGATTTTTTTATTTTAGATGATTCTGCTATGAGCTACAGTGACAACCATAATTGAAAGTAATTTTTACCAGTAGACAAAGCGCCCTCTGTAGAAGGAAGGTATATATATTTTTTCCAATCTGAAATCCTTTTTTTAAAAC